TATTTTTTCTTACTATTCTTTCATCCCTACAGGGTATCTCTTAGGCCCACACATTGGCATAAATTTTTGCCAGATTTCACATTGTCTGTCATTCTTTCAAGTCGATTGCAATTGGGCTAACGCCGCGTATGCGCAATGCTGTTGCTGTGGGAATAAATCTTGCGGCTTTACAACGTTTAGATAAAGCGCGCCGCGCATTTAAGAGTGTGGATTAAAAAATTCTTGTCATTGAATTCATATCTGTGTTAGATATTATTTATTCTAGCTGTATATGTATGTACACATATGTATATGTATGTATTTATAGAGCAGCACGACTAAGAAATGGATAACAAGACACTTGATAAGGGGCAGACAAACGAGCCGGCTGAGCTCGAATGAGGACTCACCTGTTGACCTTGACCACGCCTCCCCTTGCCTGTACATTAATGTTGAATGACTGCCAGCCATACTCAAGTATTCAATTCATTTCTATACCCAAAATAAAAGACTTGCACGTGTTCAGGGTTTACTTAAGATTTATTGTACAATATGCTATAGATGATTAAATTGGAAAATATGCACGCAGTGTTTTAGAAAAACAGAGTAAGGAAGTAAGTAAGTACATGTAAACATAATATGTGTGTACGTGTGTGTGTTTATCTGTGTGTGTGTCTGTCTGTTTGTGTGTGTGTATATATAATCTATATATGATTACGTTTGGCGAGATACTTGATTAACGTTATTAGACTACATATGCAATGTTGGATGGGCTGGGGTCGACCAACCCAACTATCAGCTATTATCACAGTATCGTAATACAAGGCAAAAGTCGTGGTAACATTGAAAATACTTTGGACTTAGAGCTAAGCGAATGTTTTCATTAGAATATGTGAGGAATGTTTTGCAAATAAATAATACGGTGAGGTCTTATGCTAAACGAAAAAACGAAAAACCGAAAAAAAAAATCCATAGAAATTTCGAACATACATATATGTATGCATATAAATAATAATGATAGATAATAAATACTTAGGCTAATTAGGATTCGGGTTCGGTTCGGATTCGGATTCGGATTCGGATTCGAATGTCATAGCCGTCTTTGAGAATGAGTTTCAGTTCATGAAATCAACTGTGGGGTTGGAGTGGGATGCTTGTCGGATGGATGGCTCAGTTCAGTTGGAATTCGAAATGGAACTATGCGTATATAACTGGTTGCTAAATCTTAAATCTTAAGTAGAGAGGCCGCTAGCCGGCCGSTGTCTATTTGTTTGTTTGTTTCTTTTGTTTTCTTTCGTTGCTTTGCAATCCCTCTTGGAGTGCTTGGCCAGGAGCTTTGTCAGGTGCCTCAGGTACTGAATGTACTGGTACTTGACGAATCGCAGATCCAGGCTATCCGGCTGTCTGGGCTTCTCCGCTCGCTGGCCGTTCGCGGCCAGCACCGCCTGTCGATGCAGCTCCACCAGCGGCGTCTTCAGCTTCATCAGCTTCTTCTCCATGGGCACACGCTTCACCGTCCTCAGGGTCTTGTGGGTCTTGTGGTTGGGCGCATAGAGGCGAGTGCTGTTGAAGGCCTCCTCAAAGTTGCAGAGCATGAGGCGTGCGCTGTTGCGCAGGCGCAGCAGCTCGGCCGAGAGCACGCTCTGCTTCTGTAGATTCTCCAGGTCCCAGTGCAGCTGGGCGTGCCGCAGATAGCTGAATGCGGCCACGTAGAACTGCAGATCGTGATGTGCGTGCTGCAGTGATAGCTGCAAGTAAACGAACGGAAAGCACAGAGATTTTCATTAGTTGAGTGCGTTGGGAAAGCGGCGAGGAGCCGGTTCGAAAGCGTAACTATTTGCTGCCTGGATTGGTGGATCTGGTGGTGGCATAGATCGCACCGATATCCGTTTTGATAACACAACGGGGCGGTGTAATCACAAGCCTCGCGGCCCAACCGGTTTAGTTCTGGCCGAGAACCGGTTGCTAACCGTTAACAGCCGCCCTCGGCCACGCCCCATGCCCGAGCAATGTGCAGTGTGCGCAAGTTGATTGAACTCGCTGGCTGATTAATAATCAAAATCAATCATACGACACGTTGCCTGAAAGTGAAAATCAACTGATTCGTCTATAAACAAATTCGCCTATTCGCCCCGTTCGCCCATCTCCCTGTCTCGCTCACTCTCTCGTTAACTGTGCTTTCGGTTTCGCAACGTATCTCACGTCCGCGTGCTAGTGACGTCGCGTCGCGTCGTTTGCCGTTCGTTCATCGTCGTCGTCGTCGTCGTTCGTTTGCTCGCTCGTTCGCTTGCTCGTTGTTGTTGTTGTTGTCGGTCGTCATATGTTTCATTCATGCCGCTGCTGGGGGAATCCACGGCGCGCTCATTCGCATGATTCACGCGCTCGCGCGAGCGTTCCATGTCGCTCTCGCTCTATCGTTCTATCTGTGTGACCCGCTCTCTCTCTCTCTCTCTCTGTGTGTGTGTGAGTGTCTCATTTACAATATATACGAACGTTTAGATTGCTCAAACACATATCAGCTCTGCTGGGCGCGCCCTTGCACCCGCGCCCTGCAGCGCCCCATTGACTCAGATATGTGCGAAATGATGTCGGGCTGTTGGCTTTTCTGTGACGTCAAAAGGCCGCGTGAGCTGCAAGTTCTTGGGAAAAGTGTGCGCCCAAACTCCAATTGCTGTTGTTGTTGCTGTTGTTGTTGTATGATTTGTGATTTGCGCAAGCCACACTCATGGCAAACACTAGCACTGTGCGTCTATAGGGCATTTTATAAATAGCCACGATTAGCTGTCAGAGCTCCACTCCCACGTTTCCTGGGTCGTCATCGATATTACAAGAATAACATCAGCACCTAATCATCGTATGAGTGAGTGTGAGTGTGTGACTGTTAGAGTACTTCACAATCAACATCATTATAATCGGTTAGCAAATCGCATCAGTTGCGGAACTCTGGCTAAAACCCTAACGATTTCACTATGAGCCAGTAATTTTTGCTGTCTTCTCTTTATATATATATATTTTTTTTATTTTTTTATTTATTTTCTTTTATATTTCCTCGTTTTATGCAGTTTTACTGCAACTTATTTTGTCTAAGTTGTGTGACTGTTAGAGTACTTCACAATCAACATCATTATAATCGGTTAGCAAATCGCATCAGTTGCGGAACTCTGGCTAAAACCCTAACGATTTCACTATGAGCCAGTAATTTTTGCTGTCTTCTCTTTATATATATATATTTTTTTTATT